ACTCAAAATCGACCCGTCCGAACCTTTGAGTCTTAACTGCTCAGTTTTCCTGCTTCTACCAAGTAAACCGTTGATTATTTGCCATTGTTTTTTGGAACAGTCCTGGTATTTTTCGAATTGTTTTTTATAGTATCGTTGTTTGGCAATGTTGACATGTTTTTTACAGAAAAGTTTTAGCTTTTTATAGGCCTCTATATTATTCATTGTAGGTTCAAGTACTTTACTATGATAACTTTCTTGTTTCCGCGCACATGCTTCTTCAAGCCAGGGTAGTATCCAGGGTTTAGTATTAGAACGCTCATGCTCACGGCGAATATGATTGATTTTTAGTGGATAGGCAGTATTATAGTGCTTGGTGTATATATCTGCAAGTTTTCCGTATTGCAGACTAGCGTCGTCTGTACTTAATATCTCGTCCCACGTCTCCCCATCGATGAGTTCCCTAAAAGCAGCATTGTTGGCCTCATTTATGACACGTGTTTCATAAATAAGTTTAGGTTGTGTGTTAGTGGGTAGCCTGAGATGTTGTTGCGAAGAGTTACTTAGTTTAAAAGTGGTAACGATAGCAAGATGATCCGATAAATCCACCGTTACAACGTTACTGCTTATTGTGTTACTTATATTATTTGTGTAGACATGATCAATTAAGGTAGCACTATGATCGGTGACTCGTGTCGGCCTTGAAACCGTCTGAACAAATCCATACTTGGCGAGGAGGTCTATGAGGTTCTGTCCAGAAATATCAGTTTTGAATTTTATAAGATCAATGTTCGCGTCCCCAAAAAACATGATATGCTTGCGAGAATGTCTGTCTCAGACAACCTTATAACGTAAATGTGGCACTGTGGCACTCGTGGCACTCGTGGCACTAACATGTGGCACTTGCGACACTCACATGTGGCACTTGTGGCACTATCATATGTAACATGTGGCACTTGCGACACTCACATGTGGCACTTGTGGCACTATCATATGTAGCATGTGGCACTTGCGGCACTCACATGTGGCACTTGTCGTCTGTCTAGACCTCGTAGCACCTTTTCCAAAGAATTTAAGAAGTTCTGAGTACCTTTAGATGGGGACCTGTAAAAGTTTATCAATACTTTTGTTTGGTTTGTGCCTTTGCAATTATGCACCTTAACTAATTGAAATTCAGCGCACGTGTCTTCGGGATCTGTGGTTGCCTTAAGATTTTCTATATTTTCGGGATCACAAACCCTCTTATTAATGTAAATTACAAGGCCACCACCTTTTCCTGATTTGCGTAATGGTTCCTGAACAATAGGCTCGTAAAACCCTTCAATTATAATGTCGGAGATTCCGTTTGGTAATTTATCTACCTTACTCGGGAATATTATAGCGGGTTAATTTATGACTGGGAAAATTAATGACCAGGAAAAATATGGCGGACTTTCCCAAAACCCGCCAAATTATCCCGGTCATGTATTTACCGGTGGCCGACCTTTCAAGTTTTTTTTTCAGAGGTCAACAAATTTTCAACCGAAATTTCTGTTTTTGTTACTTGTTAAAGAAGTTATTTCAATTTACAGTTATTGATAGTACTCAGAAATAGAAAAAAAGACACGTCTATTTAAAGGAAAATAAATCTAAGCAATAATAAGTCAAATCTTCATTAAAGCGTATTCTCATTCTCATTATCGCTAATGTCCCCTCCATTATCATTATTGATATCCCCCTGCTGCTGATCGTCAAATTCGAAGTTGTATTGTTGTCTTAACAAGACTTTCATTTTGTCCGCTAATGGGGCTACTGCTCTGAAGGTCAGCCGGAGCTTAATTTCCTGCCCACCGCTTGGTAATTGTATTGGGGAACGTCTTGGCTTTGCATCTTCAACTGCTCCAGTAATCTGAATCAATCCACCGTGGACCATGAAATAGTGGCACAGTTTACTCACTTCTAGCGGGATGTGGCCACAAGTTGGCCTGAAATCTGATTTCTATAACCAAATCTATAACCAAATTTCTATAACCAAATTGTGATTTTTATACCGAAATTATGGTAGCAACCGCCAATAAAGTTACAGCCCTCCATCCACTGCTTCAAAAGTCTTCTCTAGCACATATGAGACTTCAGGTAAAATATGATGATCACCACCCCCTTGGAACCCCATAATCTGAGTCGGCGGGTTTTTTTATGACTGGTAAAATTTTTGACCGGGAAAAATATGGCGGAATCTTCCAAAACCCACCACTTTATCCCGGTTATAATATTCCCGAGTAAGGTAACTTCAAATTGGTTTCGTTAAGACACAAAACGTCATACTTAGTATAACTGTCGATTTCTTCACGGAAGTATGTGATGTTCTTTACTAATGATCGCACATTAAGAGAAAACACTTTCAGATCATCACGGGAGGAACTTTTAATGTTCGATGGCTGCTGATAATTACAATTGGTTAATATATCGCTGATTTCGTTCCAGTATTGGTAACTTTCATCGTTATCCTGATCTAAAGCGTTACCAATCAAATCTAAACCATGTGAGCGGTCGTATGGATTGAAAAGAGCAGTGATTCGGCTGCTACAGTCCATAAAAAGATCATAAGATGTCACATAATAACCTGGGATTAACGACTTACAGCACTTTATGCAGCCTAAATTATCTCTAAAGCACTTTTTATGAATGTACTCATCGCACCATGGACAAAACCTAATGTTTAATCTAGAATAACAAAACCCGTTACAGGCCATGCACTTTGTTTTAAAATTAGTATTGTTAACACTACTTTTTTATTCGTCGGGACATCAGAGGCATTGATTGGGAGAATTGAGCTTATGCATTCATAGCAGAACCATGGTTCCCAGAATTTATAATGTGCCGGGCATCGTTTTTTGATAGTTTCTGGCATTTTAAATGTTTACTTTCAGCACATAGGTCACAAATTAGGTCAGGAGAACTTTTAGGGATACGAACATAGCATTTGTCGCAATTGGGCTGTGAGCCGTGTTGCCTATGATTACTTCCCTCCACTTTCAGAGACAGAATAAAGTAAGAGTTGAAAACAGATTAAATAAATGAAATAAAAACTGAATAAAGAAAAATTGATATTAATACAGGGTGGGCCAAAAGTCAGTGTGCAAACGTTGGGTCTTATACCTCCGCTGAGTTTTATATTTGAGAGCTGTTGCTTTGCAGATGGCATACTGTACTTACTGGTTCGAGGATTCCGTCGTCAAAATTTGAAAATTCGAATATTTTAGACCACGCCCATTCAATGTTAAAACACCTATATTGTTTTCTCTGAAAATCCTGAACGCCTATTTTTTTTAGAGACGGTAGATTATCAAATGTTGCATATGATCTGAAAAAATGAGGCAAAACGGATTAGAAATGACGAAGTTAACAAGCATTTTGTGTATCTCGTTAACAAATTGACTGGGTGATTATGTGACACCGTGACACGACACCTTAATTGGGCACCCTTAACAATTCCCATAATGTTTAACGGGGTAGTTAACGGGGTCACCTTATCACGTGATTAGGTAAACCAATCACCTGATCACACGTAATGAACAAGCTTGTTATGCTTCATATCTCGGTCATCTGAGAAGCTAGAACTCTCATTCTTTCAGGGCAAACGTAATTCGAATGGCCAAACACAATTCAATAACATTTAGCTTGATCCGATTATCCAAACTATCAAAAAAATGTGAAAATGAACCTCCATTTGAAAAAAATGAACGCGAATATTTTTCGAGTTGACAAATTCCTCGAACCAGTGGTGGTACTAAGTCATACCAGAAGGAAGTATTTCAATTGGGCACTCAGTGACTGAGCTATTAAGGCCAACGTTTGCACACTGACTTTTGGCCCACCCTGTATATAATCTGATGGTTATAATAAGCTATAAATATTTTAAACTATACAGTGCTAATTCAAAATTTCTTTATACTCCATTCTCAGATTAAATTTTAATAATTCAACAATTAATTACAGTGGGTGTGTCACGCCATTCCCTCTTTTTCGCTATTGTCAGTGTCACCATAAAGTGAGAACGCTTTCAGCTAGGAACTTCAAAGTTTCTAGACATGTTTGGTTTGATAATTGAAGTGCTTTCCCAAAATTTCAAGTTGTATTGGTTGTTCACAATTTACCTGAGTTAATAAGACCCTTTTAAAGTTTTAAGATATTGCAGATACGTGATCTTACCCTTGGCACTTAATCAGTGATTTCGTCACCCAATCAGTAATCTCATCGGGAGCTATTCGCTAGCGAGCAACAATGAGACTCATTAGTCGGTAACGAGCATGTTGGTGGATGACGATCTGATCAATTTGAGTGAATACTGATAGTGACGTTCCTTAAAACCGAAGAAACTTGCGTTATAGTTATAATAGCGCTTCGGTTGCTGTCCTATAAGCAGTCTCCAACCCAGAGAGACCCTATATAAACCCCAATGATTTAAACCAGTACCCTAGTGTACTAGTTTACAACCGACAGTGCAAAGGTTCAAGGTTGAAGAAGCCTTCCAAAATGCAGAGAATTATATACTTATACTAAAAGAAAAAATCTTTCCTTGCGTTTGAGATGAGTCAATCGAAGTAAAAACTTTCCTTGTCAAAACATCCTCAAACTGATGATTGGCGCCGGGCGTTGCTCACCTTACGTTTTCGAACCTGTATTGAGAAGGTTTGAAAATTAATTTGGAATCGAGCGCTATGGGGTATGTGATATCAAAATCAGGACGAATTACTCGTCGGCTGGGTGGTGTAGTGGTTACTGGTTACACAATCGCCTCCCATGCTAAGGGTCCCGGGTTCAAATCCGGTCTCATGCAAGTCGGCCAGTCACCAAGCTGCTAATTATCACATGCCTTCTCATGCGATATCTAATTTTTCAAAACTCGGCAAGCCTCGTGTTTGAAAATGTCGATATAACCGGAAACTTTCACTAACTCGGCAAGCCTCGTGGGCAAAAGTTTTTAAACGTATGAGAAGGCATGTGATGAATCAAATGTATAATAATCAATTATTCTCCAGAGCATAAGTGTGAATACGGATATCAGAAGTGCGCGGACGGTAAGCAATGTATCGACTCTACCTTTGTATGTGATTTTGACGAGGATTGTGACGATTGGTCAGATGAAAAAGAGTGCTCGAATAATTATTATTAACTACTAAGTAAGCGGGGACTTAGTAGTTTTATTTCTTGGGATTTGTAATATAGGTTGGTGGAAAAAATCTTTGGAAATTAGTGTAGATTAAGAGTAGTTTAGTGTATCATTGGTTTTGTAGAAGTGGAGACACGTGGCATGGTAGTCGTGTGGACTAGTTTAAGGATTTAGAGTGGTGTATTTGCGCCACGTGGTACCATGTGGTTCGCCATGTGGTATCACGTGGTTCGCCATGTGGTATCACGCAGTCGCTGGTTGTTGGCCCTGTTGTTGGCAGTTCTTTGAGTAGTAAGTTTGGTGACGTGTAAAATGTTAACCGCAACTCAAGAATAAGTTAACGTGGCCCGATCAGCTACGCGTTTTTACATTTTAGTTGAATCCTTCGGTTTCCTGTAATTGGCTGGTTACACACTTGTGTAACAATGTGGCTGTTGGAATGTCCGAAGTAAAATAAGTGTTGAGATAAGTTGATTGTCGAAGCATGAGCTATAAACTTTTATGGGATTCAAGGATTTGAACGAAAAAGATCAGGACGACATTATTTCACAAACCTAATTATACTAGAGCCTGTGCACAAAATTAATTTTTGCTTATAGAGTTATAGTTATTCCGTTATTTTACGCATGTTAATATTTTGGTTATTTAAAAAAAGTGGACTGCAGTTTTATTGTATATATTTAACAGGAACTATACAAATTTGTTGTTGACAGGTTCAATGTTTAGTTATGTTATGCTAGTTTTATCATTTGATTATTGAATCTCAAAGTTTCATATCTGTTGTTAAGGAAAGATTCAAAGTCACCAATAACACCATCATAATATAATACATGAAGTACATGAAATGCAACCTATTACATATAAATATAAAAAATTCTGCTACATTCACTTCAAGCTGTCACGTACAGCTACTGATAATGAGGCAGATAACGAATCAGAATATATACTAACTCTGAATAATACGGTAATAAAGCAGGTGTTATTATTGACGAAAAGCTAAAATGAGATGTTCAAATAAGAGCCCTTAACTCGAAACTTAGATGTTAAATTGAAAGACTCAGTAGAAATTCAAATAAACTTTACATCAATGTATTACAGTTATATCCAATAAGAAGACCACAATATCTCCTGTGAGGCAAAAACATGGAAAAAGATTGTATCACGTTGCGACCCCTTGTATCACGTGGTGACCCCACTGTCGCTTCACTATAGTGTAGAGTTTCGACGATACAGGGGGAGCCGCGCACTCGTGCGCGGCGGGTCATACAACGTATGACAAGAAAAAGAGAGCTAGAAAAATATTCATGAGACTCAACACTACCAGACTGCAGCTGGAGTAAAAAAACAATATGTAAACATCAAAGTAAAATTTATTTCGGCTGAACCAAAACACGGTGTCACGGTGGTAAAACCATAATTACATTGGTGCCGATCTTCACATAGCCATGTGTCTAGCGCGGTCGCGCGCGCTACTGCAAGCGAAAGGGTTCACCTAACCATGTGCTTTCGCGCCACTTCGGGCGCGCTACTGCAAGCGCAAGGGCTCTGGATCGATAAAGCAAGCGAAAGGGCTTTGGTTAGAGCAAGTGCCGACCTTGACCATTATTAATGATCTGACCCGCCGCGCGCTACTTCGTAGCACTTGCCATCGGGCCATAACATTTCGAGAAGAAAGCGGCGCGCACTACTTCGAAGAAATTTAGACGAGTAACATCCGTCAAGTGCCGACCCTACATAAAATCATTAATAAATAATCAAGAAAATAAATTTAATGTATACGATACCTTTTAATTGCTACTACTCCACAAACTTACATAACAACAAAATAACATAATTATATATTATAATAATATAACAATCTATATTCTAGCCACTCATTGTCATACGTTGTATGACCCGCCGCGCACGAGTGCGCGGCTCCCCCTTTATCGTAGAAACTTCACTTTAGTGAAAAGACAGTGGGGGTTACTTGTATCACGTTGCGACCCCCACGGTCGTTTCTGGTTTCACTTTATCGTCGTTTCACTTTATCGTCCTGACGATACGAGGAGAGCCGCGCACTTCGTGCGCGGTGGGTCATACAACGTATGACAAGGGGTCACCACGTGATACAAGCCACTCACGTACTGCGTACCGTGACGCGCTTTTTTCATACTTTCATAGAAAAAAACGGCGCGTTCTACTGCAGGTGCGAGGGGCATATTATAGCGAGTATAACATTCACAAATTGTAGCGCGATGCGTTACTGTGCCGCGCCGCGCACTCAATAAGGCTTCTCACAGCGACCTGGCCAGATCGGCGAGATGCGCTACTGTACCGCGCCGAGCTGCCATGAATTGACATCGTCAATTAAATTCACAAAGTATAAAAATATATATTATTCCATGATGGGCCGTCTAATAGTAGAGGCTCTTACGGGCAAAAAGACGTGTTTTCTGCTACGAGTTTAGAGACCTAACCGCTAATTGGACACAATAGTATGATGTCTAAGGATCGATAATATGTTAAGAAGTATAAATTTGGCCTTATTAGTCACGTGCTATACCAATGCGCGTTTTAAACTTTGACAGTCTATTTCTCTAAGGCAAATAAAGTAATTATATTCATATTTTGTCAGCAATAAGATCACATTATTTTCTATTTAGTGTGAAAATATGAGCTAGAACGGACATAATCTCGCTGAGTTATAGCTGTTTGAAATTTATGATGAACGCGCGGGTGCCAATTGATAACAACTAAATGCTTTTGCGCGTAGTGCGCGTCGAAAATTTGGCAAAAACGCTTGCGGAGTGACAATATTCAAACTTCGATAAAGTATATGAAGTGGGTACTTCTCGAAAAGGAAAAATTTAGGCAAACACGATGTGACTATTTTTGGGTTGATTTAATACAACTGCAAAAAATTATTCAAACTTCAAGCAAAAAAGTCAAAATTTTTACCACTTTTTTGGATTTTTACCTCAGAACAAATAGAGGGATTTGTTTTATTTTTATACAATCTTGTGCGGCTGTCTTTTAGCTATCTTTATGCAAGTTTTGCCGACATGCCAACAAAATTAACTTGCTCAAAATATCAAAAAACATGGTTTTTTTGGCCTATTTTTGGCCCAAAAATCGGTTTTTTGCGATTTTACCCCAGAACAATCAGTCCAATCATCTTGAAACCACTTTCAATCGATTCTACGGTCAAAAATACGTCTAGTAAGGTGTATCTGGGGTCCCTAACGTATCGAGCAGACAATGCCCGTAAGAGCCTCTACTATTATAAAGAACGTGATATTTGGCCCTCGAACTTAAAGGAGAATGCGCAAATTTGGTCCTCAGATTTAAAGAAAAATGGGCAATTTGTCGCAGAGAACTGAAAAATCGCGATTTTTCGCTAAGATCTGAGAAAATTGCGATATTTCGCGGCCAACGTCAAAAATCGTGATTTGTCGCGGAGAATGGGTAAAATCGCGATTCCGCACGTGCCGCGATTTCTTTTTGACCTTGCTGGTGCTTAGGACTGGGTATATATTTAAGACGTACACTCAAAAACTGCGTAGAGTTCAAGGAGGTATAAGGGGCTACTAGAATCAAGTACGTTCGAGGAGGTAGGGGCTAACAATAAGAACATGCTACTCATGAGTCAGCCTACCGTCTGGTAACTACAAAAAAGTCTTCTAAGCTAAGTTCTTGAGGGGTTTGGAAGTTTTGAATGAGGGGTTGATTACATATAACGTAATCAGCCGAGGGGGGAGGGGGTTCCCAAATGATTACGGTTGATTAAAAATTGCTAAAATATTGATTACGTAATATGTGAACGACCCATTGTAATTGTAATAATCGAAGAGACTAATTATAGCTTCCAAAGAACAATAGCACAGTACACTTGCAACAACTGCGTAGATTTCGAGGAGGTAGGGGCTACTAGAATCAAGTACGTTTGCTTTAATCAAGGACAATTTGCGAGTAAAACGTTAAGACAAGACGGTGTTAGTGTAACTTATTGTTTCCATAGGGTGGTACAAACTACAAACTAGGACCGGTGATTTCGAGCGCATGGCGGTCCAAACTCCAAAGTTTTATCTTCAGACGTGGATGTTTTTGCAGATGCGATTGTGCTTGTATAGTAAATGCAATTAAAGTAAGTAATAAGCTTAGCCATTAGCACTAGCAGAGCTACATGAATTGGCTAAGTCTTTTCGGCGGAATCAGCTCTTTGAGTTTGATGTATCGGTATAAATTTAATCAAATAAATTTTCATTCCAAGATCAGATTAAAGACTGGAAAATTACTGCCTGGTTACTTGACAGACGGTACCTGTCTCTTTCAGGGTCGTGAAGTAGCCCGGCCCGGCCGGGAAAAGAGGTCGCAACGTGTCAGAGAATCCCTCTGACGTATTACCAATACTATTAGTGTAATTACTGTAACCAGGCAGTAATTTGATTTATAAATCAAATGAATTTACATTCCAAGATTTTATCAAAGATGGGGGATTCAGGAAATGTAGCATCCAAACATTTGATCATTATCACATTCACAATAATTTACATTGACAACATTACATTACAAACTTACATTTATACTTATAGATTTTTGAATCTGGAATAAAGTATTAGCAAGATCCAGATCGTCTTTACGCTCAAGTTCCCTAAAAGATACTACAAATTTTCCTTGGTCCTACAGAGCTGATCTCTTATACTAACTACTGCCTGTGGTAAATCTAAAACTTGACGTTTGTCTCATTGTATAAATTACTTGAGGTATAAATAAAATCATCAACCACACAAGTTCACTTAACTTTAACCGATTGTTGACCCTGATAGTTGGATGATATCCGGTTCGAAGATACAAGGACAAATGAAACAGGAAGTTGGGATGTAGGCAAATTTTCGGCGTGTTTTAACCTAATTACAACACTACAAATCTAATAAACATTGCTGTGGCACATATAAGGTTAAAGATTAAAGCATTTCCGCACAGTCTTCGTTGTTTTGTCACCCTCGTCGGGCAAATTTATGTGTTTGTTACCAACACTTTTTGGTTTCTATATTTGTGGTAACAAGGTATTTTAATGCGACCTTCTCCCAGAAATTGTTGGGAAATCGGCCATTATGCCCTTTATGCAGCTGTAATTTCGGCTATCGATATAATAGCCCTATGACGAAACCAAACTATACCACTATCCAAACGTCATGTCCCGGTTAAGGTTTATCGTTGGTAAAATGCCGAATTATGATGTCCAGTTTGTTGCAGATGAACTAAGATCTTAAAATCAGACACATTAGAGATAGATCGTCAGTTATTAATAAAAATGCTTAGCTATGGTAGAGGTAAGTCTGGATTTATATATTTAATAAGTTATATTAATATACCAGTGTGTCCCATTTTGACGATCTTTCTCTTGTCAGTACTTTTCCGTAATTTGAGCTTCCAGCTCCTCATATCAATCGTGTCTCGCGTTACTCATAGTCATAGCTACCTCAATAATTGGTCGCTGGACAAAAATTCGGTCGAAAATTTCAAATTTTGAAATATAAGTTATATACCAATGTTTTTTGCTATACACCTCGCATTTCGCCGAATCTTTAAATTTATTTAACGAAAAAAAGTAATAATCAACCTGAAATTTCAATTTGAAAGGACCAAAAGTTAAGTTCCAACCATAATCGGTATAATTCATATTATCCCAGATGCAGCAGGTAATTGAAGAAAAAGTGTTCCTAGAACGCTTATATTTATAATATGTCCTCGAGGGCGCCAGCCCGAGGACGCCATATCTTCGTATAGCCTTATTATATATACTGGGCGGCGCTCAGCCTGTCATTCCGCCGAATCTTTATGAACATAATAGCCTGGGGTCCCCAGGTAACGTATAGCCCGGAGTACATACGAAATTTTGCCCGCGAGGCGAGTATGATATGTATTATATCCACAAGCGGGCGTAATTTTCACGAAGCTTCACATTTTCCAACAATCATAGCAAATAAAAGTAAAAGATTTCAGACTCAAGTTGCAAATTAACGAAAAAATCATGATGCTTTTGCCTTTTGGTTTAAGATTCAGAACAGGGCAACATTACTGATTATAGAACACAATAGAAGAATATAAAACTCACGTACTATAATGGTATTATACACCAACTATATCGATGAACATGCAAAGGACTGTTAATCACTTAATCATTAGTATAGATTTATATATTTAATTAAAAATTGTGTATTTTCGTCAATCCATATTACGAGTAACAAAAAATTCCTGTTACCATGCCAACACGTCAAATGTACATAATGAGAGTTAATCAGTGCACAGTGTGTAGGGCCAATCAAAAAATCAATTCAGCTTAAACTATCAAAAAGAGTGCTCGCCATAACTTTAACAACTGTATAACTATAAACTGAATACCATCAGTTACCAAGAGAGCTCCAGATCACGAAGGGACATTGAATATATATAATAATAATATGAGAGTGAAAGCTCAAATTCATAACATCAATATTAGTGGTAGACGGTAGTTTCAAAACAAAAAACAGGGCAAAATTTCTTTCGGGAACACAATAGAATTAAACGTAAAATTCCGCCCTAAAATTTTAAAATTAAATTAACTTTTACCAAAGTCCAGAAAGTATTAGCGCAAAATAAAATCTGTTATATTTGATATATAACACAGTTTTTCAACTTAGTTGATGGAGGATTTAGTGCGTTTGGAGAATGGTCAGAGTGCTCAGCTGATTGTGGAGAAGGACAACATACCAGGGAAAGAACCTGTACTAACCCAGCCCCAGCTAATGGTGGTGCTGATTGTGAGGGAAGTTTGACAGAAGCGCAAAATTGCAATTCCGATCCCTGTTCAGGTTCGTTAAGTAACTTATAAAAACTTTGACAATGCAGGACAGCAAGATACTATGCATGTCATCATAGTTGATAGTTGTTGAGTGCCAATGGATCTACCAAAATAGGTTTCTCAGTACTAGTAGACCAAAAAGATAGTTGTTACTGTAGATAGGTTCCGACAACAAGAGTGGTGCCGAATAGAGATTCGGTGCCGAATAGAGATTCGGCGGAATGACAGGCTGAGTGCGGCCCAGTATGACTATGAGTAAGTATAAACAGGTATAAGCTAGTATCACCCACAGGCGGCCACAATACGGCATTATCCAGATTTAGATTAACCTTACTCGGGAATATTATGACTGGGAGTGGGATAAAGTGGTGGGTTTTGGAAAATTCCGCCATATTTTTCCCGGTCATTAATTTTCCAAGTCATTAATCAACCCGCTATAATGTTCCCGAGTAAGGTATACTAATAGTAATACATTTTGATGCTTGGTGGGTTTTGGAAAATTTCGCCAAATTTTTCCCGGTCATCAATTATAATTTTCCCAGTCATAAATTAACCCGCTATAATATTCCCGAGTAAGGTATTCTTATCCGAATTATTCGGATTTTGGAAGATGAGACATGTACTTTATTTAATCGAGCGTTCTAAATAATTTTACACCCAAACTTCAAAATTTTTTTAAAAGGGCTCTCGACAGAAGCCAAATTGTTAGTTACGATTCACAACACTACCTACTTTAGGAAAATAGCTTATTACAAAAACATTTTCAGATACTCTGATTCAGAACTACAAGAGAACTATTGCAGAAATCCATACGCGTAAGTCTTCAATATCTGATATCTGGTAGTGTTTCATAATCATTGTTATCAAGTCGAGCACAAGGTAGTAATACTCTCAGCTCCGAAATTTGAAAGGTTGCGTGTTGGACGTGGGTGCTGTTACTTCACTTAAACTAGTTGTTCATTGATCCAATGATATAGTTTAGTCCGAACCGGATAATAGAAATTACAATTGACTATTCAAACGGACATTAAGATGAACGCTAGGACCTCCAGCGTTCAATTAATGTCCGTTCAAATAAGGTCCGATAAGGTCGTTTGAACTTTGTTAAGACCCACCGTGTGATTGCATTACAATTTCTGATAAAACATCAGTGCCCTCGAAGTCCCAAAAGCAAATTCTTCAGGTGAAGAAAGAAGGAGTGGAAATGTCACCAGTTTTCGTGTACATCAAACCTTTGAGACATTGGAACAGAAATTATTTTTAATTCCATGAAATAAGCGCACTATGCATGACGAAACCAAAGGGAATATGCCGACTTTTGATGTCCAGGTTACAGCAGATGAACTTGATCTGATACATTACAGGATAGATTAGTGCATTTTTGTTTGATAAGTAGTTCTAGTCACTGCTTATCAGCTTTACTAAGTCTAAAGTCTTTGGTTTGTTTCATATTATTATTATACATTATATATTATTTGTATGGAAAGCATCATGAATACTGTAATTTTCCGAGTGGAGTTGTACCCCATCCATAATTAGTAATTACTTACATGCTACAAATTTCGACAGTTTTAATTTCGCCTTTATTACAATGTTTACGTTTGAGTTAATAAACTATGATGATTATATATGAATTTTACTTGATAGTGTGGTTAACTTACAGTTAAATGTTTTTAGATACTCTAATGATGTAGTTTTACGAAGATTTCAAGCCTTACGTTATGTGTTTCTATTTTTATTATATTTATGTATTGTGTTTTTTAACAGGATAGATTTTATATGGTGTCCAGTTTGTTGCATATGAACTAGATCAGATACAATTCAGGATAGATTTATGGTGTCCAGTTTGTTGCAGATGAATTAGATCAGATACAATCTAGGATAGATTTATGGTGTCCAGTTTGTTGCAGATGAACTAGATCAGATACAATTCAGGATAGATTTATGGTGTCCAGTTTGTTGCAGATGAATTAGATCAGATACAATCCAGGATAGATTCATGGTGTCCAGTTTGTTGCAGATGAATTAGATCAGATACAATCTAGGATAGATTTATGGTGTCCAGTTTGTTGCAGATGAACTAGATCAGATACCATCCAGATAGCTCATCAGTAATTTATAAAAACTTCAGATTCTAGCAAATGGATTATGCCCCTATGTTGAGATATAACGTAACATCTTTCATTTAAAAACATAAAAACATTTATATGATTATTCAAAAATACGAAGGTTTTTCACTTTTTTATTGATATTACAGAATTGTAATTATCATTCAAAATAAGTAATGTTGACATTCACATTTACATAAAATTCCTCAGCAAAAATCAAAATTTGGAAGATGCATCGTAAAACATAATGTGTCATAGACCATCATTTACACAAACGTGTCCATCGAAAATATGATAACTCTAATGAGCAGTGAAATTATAAATTATTAAATGAAATGGTAGCTAGATCCGAAATAAAACCTTCCACAACAATGAGATTAAAAGTAAAAACATTGGATAGAAGCATTTAGCACACAATGGTCCACCTTAATTGAGAGAGATATTATCTCCACGATGAACTTAACTCAGAAGTTATATAATTAACTTCCATCTCTTCGTGGAAATGGTGGAATTCTGTAGACAATCTCAGCGGGGACTGTGGCGAGGTTGTGTAGTTGTTTATCTACTGTGCAATCATTGGACTACTAGTAAAGTCAGAGTTTGTATCCGACCCATTCATTGCTCCTCCTTTCCTGATCATATTTGGTATTAAAACTACACAATTTTCAATATTTAGATAATAAACATCAATGAAAATCGATAAAGTACAGCAGGGTACCCTGTTCACCTGCTAACTGCTACCTAAACTAAGCCGAACCTGCTAGAGTACAGCAGGGTACCCTGTTCACCTGCTAACTGCTACCTAAACTAAGCCGAACCTGCTAGAATACAGCAGGGTACCCTGTTCACCTGCTAACTGCTACCTAAACTAAGCCGAACCTGCTAGAGTACAGCAAGGTACCCTGTTCACCTGCTAACTGCTACCTAAACTAAGCCGAACCTGCTAGAATACAGCAGGGTACCCTTTTCACCTGCTAACTGCTCCCTAAACTAAGCCGAACCTGCTAAAATACAGCAAGGTACCCTGTTCACCTGCTAACTGCAACCTAAACTAAGCCGAACCTGCTAGAAGTACAGCAGGGTACCCTGTTCACCTGCTAACTGCTTCCTAAACTAAGCCGAACCTGCTAGAGTACAGCAGGGTACCCTGTTCACCTGCTAACTGCTACCTTAACTAAGTCGAACCTGCTAGAATACAGCAGGGTACCCTGTTCACCTGCTAACTGCAACCTAAACTAAGCCGAACCTGCTAGAATACAGCAGGGTACCCTGTTCACCTGCTAACTGCTTCCTAAACTAAGCCGAACCTGCTAGAGTACAGCAGGGTACCCTGTTCACCTGCTATCTGCTACCTTAACTAAGCCGAACCTGCTAGAATACAGCAGGGTACCCTGTTCACCTGCTAACTGCTACCTAAACTAAGCCGAACCTGCTAGAGTACAGCAGGGTACCCTGTTCACCTGCTAACTGCTACCTAAACTAAGCCGAACCTGCTAGAATACAGCAGGGTACCCTGTTCACCTGCTAACTGCTACCTTAACTAAGCCGAACCTGCTAGAGTACAGCAGGGTACCCTGTTCACCTGCTAACTGCTACCTAAACTAAGCCGAACCTGCTAGAGTACAGCAGGGTACCTTGTTCACCTGCTAACTGCTACCTTAACTAAGCCAAACCTGCTAGAGTACAGCAGGGTACCCTGTTCACCTGCTAACTGCTACCTTAACTTAGCCGAACCTGCTAGAATACAGCAGGGTACCCTGTTCACCTGCTAACTGCTCCCTAAACTAAGCCGAACCTGCTAGAGTACAGCAGGGTACCCTTTTCACCTGCTAACTGCTCCCTAAACTAAGCCGAACCTGCTAGAATACAGCAGGGTACCCTGTTTTCCTGCTAACTGCTACCTAAACTAAGCCGAACCTGCTAGAGTACAGCAGGGTACCCTTTTCACCTGCTAACTGCTTCCTAAACTAAGCCGAACCTGCTAGAGTACAGCAGGGTACCCTGTTCACCTGCTAACTGCTACCTTAACTAAGCCGAACCTGCTAGAATACAGCAAGGTACCCTGTTCACCTGCTAACTGCAACCTAAACTAAGCCGAACCTGCTAGAATACAGCAGGGTACCCTGTTCACCTGCTAACTGCTTCCTAAACTAAGCCGAACCTGCTAGAGTACAGCAGGGTACCCTGTTCACCTGCTAACTGCTACCTTAACTAAGCCGAACCTGCTAGAATACAGCAGGGTACACTGTTCACCTGCTAACTGCAACCTAAACTAAGCCGAACCTGCTAGAATACAGCAGGGTACCCTGTTCACCTGCTAACTGCTTCCTAAACTAAGCCGAACCTGCTAGAGTACAGCAGGGTACCCTTTTCACCTGCTAACTGCTACCTAAACTAAGCCGAACCTGCTAGAATACAGCAGGGTACCCTGTTCACCTGCTAACTGCTACCTTAACTAAGCCGAACCTGCTAGAGTACAGCAGGGTACCCTGTTCACCTGCTAACTGCTACCTAAACTAAGCCGAACCTGCTAGAGTACAGCAGGGTACCCTGTTCACCTGCTAACTGCTACCTTAACTAAGCCGAACCTGCTAGAGTACAGCAGGGTACCCTGTTCACCTGCTAAATGCTACCTTAACTTAGCCGAACCTGCTAGAATACAGCAGGGTACCCTGTTCACCTGCTAACTGCTCCCTAAACTAAGCCGAACCTGCTAGAGTACAGCAGGGTACCCTTTTCACCTGCTAACTGCTCCCTAAACTAAGCCGAACCTGCTAGAATACAGCAGGGTACCCTGTTTTCCTGCTAACTGCTACCTAAACTAAGCCGAACCTGCTAGAGTACAGCAGGGTACCCTTTTCACCTGCTAACTGCTTTCTTGTCTTGTGACCCCGGAAGTTAGCCTGGATCTTAATCGCTGCTGCTTCTTCTTCTGAATATCCTGATTATGGTTGGGTTTTTACGTCAACATAAATAAGGTATTTTCTAAAGGTAATGATATTCTTAGAGTGAATTGAAGATTTTTTAAAAATATTGACGATCAAATTCCCATTTTATGGTCACATATTTGTAATGTTTTGACCCGAATATAAATGTTATAAAATACCTGGACAGTCATCGGTACCATCGTTTGGAAACGCCTCTTCCTCCTCCCCTTCTGGTCCAGCTAACTGTTTTCTCGTTTTATGACCTCGGAAATTAGCCTGTATCCTTGTAGCTGCTTTTGACTCTTTCTTTTCTGGGGTTGTTAATTTCTGTAGAAACTAGAAATAGATAATGCTGCAACTACTAAACTTAAAGTACGCTTACTTTAGGTTTAACCACTTCAGGTTTAACTAGCGATTCGGTAGTGTGGCAAAGCACGGTTAACGCACGGTTAAGGCACGGTTAAAGCACGGTTAAGGCACAAGGGTTACATAAGGCACGGTTGAGGCACGTCACTTAAGGCACGGTTAACGCACGGTTAAGGCACGGTTAACGCACAAACTGCCCAAAAGCAACCATTATGGTCGCTTAAGGCACGGTTAACACTCGGTTAACGCACGGTTGGGAAAATATAACATATAAACATACAAGTGGTTAACTAAGGCACGGTTAAGGCACGGCTAGGGAAAAGGGGTTACATAAGGCACGGTTGAGGCACGTGTACGCGAAGGTCCATTGCGTGGTTAGATAAATTGATATATTATAATATATAATAATGTTGTTTTGTTGATATGTCGTGTAAGTCTGTGGAGTAGTAGCAAGAAGGTCTCGTATACATTTTAATTTGTTCTCTATTGATAATTTATTGATGATTCAAATTCTGTATTTTATGTAGGGTCGGCACCAATGTAATTATGGTTTTACCACCATGTTTTGGTTCGAAATACATTTTACTATGATGTTTACATAATGTTTTTCACTCCAGCTGCAGTCTGGTAGTGTTGAGTATCAGGAATATTTTTCTAGCTCACATTTTCCATGTTTTTGCCTCACAAGCTCACAGGAGATATTGTGGTCTTTTCTAAATATAACTGTAATACATTGATGTAAAGTTTATTTGAATTTGAAATAAAATTTCTAATTTCGCTCACAAGTTTACTATAAAATAAATTATCCATAAAAAATGCACTTCTTCTGTTTTTATGCAATCATATCAAACTGCAATTCAAAGAATTTGTACAAGTTCGCCTATTAAGTTTTAACAGCCTTGATACAAGTTAAAAGCCCCTATATTTTTAGAATGTATAAACTTTGGATTCGGCGTTTAATGGAAAATAAGGAGTCACTTTTGCGTACCTTGAATCTCTTTTCTAACTTTGAACCCTTTGTATTGTGATTGTATTCTCACAGCTGCTTCTTCATCGGTCATATTCTTCTGAAAAATAGTAATTGATGATAACCATTATTATCCGTCTGAAAATCAAACGTTGATTAGGATCTTAAAATTGGGTACTTTGATCAAATTCTTCTCACAGTAGCTCAGTAAAAAGGTAATAACTAATATTTGCTTATAATTTAACTCAGTAGAAGCATAAAAATGTTACTGATCAAAGTTAGGTAATAACAATTGTTTATATGCCCCTTAAATCTCCATGTATTCTAGTCGACCCTCGCAAAACTTCTGGCAAAGAAAACGTGTACATACTTACGCCCTTAACACTGTTAACACTGTTAACACTTTTAACAGATCAGATAGATTATAAAATTTTAAAAACTATGCTGTAGATTTCTCAATTTTTAGGAAACAGTTGGGAATGTAAAAAAGTTGGTCGAAAAAAAAAAATTTTTCTGGAATACTTGTCCGTGCCGAGATGGTATTTTGTGAGCCATGTTAACAATTTTAAATGTTTCGTACGATATGCAGTTGTACCGGGTCAGTTGTACGAAATATCGTCCGATCTAAAAGTAAATACATCAGGTCTGAAATCAGGAAAAAGTGCGGGAAAAGAATACCACAAACAAACGATCTCTCTACCACTCGGAGCAGCAAGATTATACAAACGAACACCATGCACTGTAAGAACATATTGTGCGTGATATCCGAGAACTTAACGAGGTTGAATAAGGAATCTCTACACTATGTTAAATCCTTAGAACTGACTTGACACTGAACCGTATATATAGTGTACTTTATAGATAGGTTATAGTATTCTTGACCTTTCTAGTTATTCAATACACATACTATAAGGTATTTTTGGACTTATAAAGGCTTTAGACTGGCATGCGATCGTTACATTCAACCTTTTACTGTTTTACAGATTTTGAAATATTCAGCCTTTTATTGTTTCAACCTTTTAATGCTTCGTAAGTTCTTGAAATGCTTTATATATAAGAAATTTGCGACCTGGATCGAAATTGACAAGTGAAAACCTGAATACAAGCTATTCAGTAGCGACTAAAGCAGATTACTCACAAAATCAACTAAAAGTAAAACAGCAGACAAAAAGAAGTAGCAAGAGAAGTTAAATTCTATACACTTTTACACTTTACAGTACATGTGCTATGAATGTATAATAGTCCTAAAGGTGTGGATAGTGAGGTATTGTATAGTGTAGGTGCGCATAAATATGTGAACTTTAAGTGCTTTATGTAAGTATATAAATTTATATATAGTATTATATAACAAATATCACCGCGCTAAAATGTGTGTCTGATTAATTGCAACTTTTCAACAATGTTTAAACGCTATTTATGTATTGTTTATGAATAATATCTAGGCGCCATGTTTTCTATATCTATACGAATGTACTTGCGTCTTTTTAATACAACATTTTGTGGTGTTTGCTTTTTGTACTAAATGTTACAAATATGTATCTACCACTATAAAACAATAAATCTGGCGTAAAATAGAGATATAACTAACAAAGTTACAAAAGGAAGACGGCAGCAAAGTTTTCAGAGGCTTTCAAAAAGCAAGGTTGTAGAGTGAGTGTGCATTGTGCAAATGCAGACGTTTCAAAACAAGTTTATAGTCTTAAAGTGCAGAGTGCGCAAATGGAGACGTTTCTAAAAACAGTTTGTAGAGTGCAGAGTGGGCAAAAGCAGACGTTTCTAAAAACAGTTTGTCGAGTGCAGAGTGCGCAAATGCAGACGTTTCTAAAAGCAAGTTTGTAGAGTGCAAAGTGCGCAAATGCAGACGTTTCTAAAAGCAAGTTTGTAGAGTGCAGAGTGCGCAAATGCAAACGTTTCTAAAAGCAGTTTGTAGAGTGCAGAGTGCGCAAAAGCAGACGTTTCTAAAAGCCAGTTTGTAGAGTACAGAGTGCGCAAAAGCAGACGTTTCACAGAGCCAGTTTGTAGAGTGCAGAGTGCGCAAATGCAGACGTTTCTAAAAGCAAATTTGTAGAGTGCAGAGTGCGCAAATACAAACGTTTCTAAAAGCCAGTTTGTAGAGTGCAGAGTGGGCAAAAGCAGACGTTTCTAAAAGCCAGTTTGTCGAGTGCAGAGTGGGCAAATGGAGACGTTTCTAAAAGCCAGTTTGTAGAGTGCAAAGTGCGCAAGTGCAAACGTTTCTAAAAGCAAGTTTGTAGGGTGCAGAGTGCGCAAATGCAGACGTTCCTGAAAGCAAGTTTGTAGAGTGCAGAGTGCGCAAATACAGACGTTTCACAGAGCCAGTTTGTAGAGTGCAAAGTGCGCAAGTGCAAACGTTTCTAAAAGCAAGTTTGTAGAGTGCAGAGTGCGCAAATACAAACGTTTCTAAAAGCCAGTTTGTCGAGTGCAGAGTGGGCAATAGCAGACGTTTCTAAAAGCCAGTTTGTAGAGTGCAAAGTGCGCAAGTGCAAACGTTTCTAAAAGCAAGTTTGTAGAGTGCAGAGTGCGCAAATACAAACGTTTCTAAAAGCCAGTTTGTAGAGTGCAGAGTGGGCAAAAGCAGACGTTTCTAAAAGCCAGTTTGTCGAGTGCAGAGTGGGCAATAGCAGACGTTTCTAAAAGCCAGTTTGTAGAGTGCAGAGTGCGCAAATGCAGACGTTTCTAAAAGCAGTGTGTAGAGTGCAGAGTGCGCAAAAGCAGACGTTTCTCAAAGCAGTTTGTAGAGTGCAGAGTGGCCAAAAGGCCGGATGCTAAAACTTTAAAAGCTGCTATGATAGGTTTAGTGTTCCTTGTCAATACTTATACCTAATATAGGTGCCTTATAAGTGCCTGAATTTCACCAGATATGCCTTCATTAACGTGTAGATACAACCCATCTTGTTTTGTCTAGATGTGAACATGTTGAGATTTACATCAGGGCAGATGAGGACTAAGTTAAGAATGTCAGGCCTATTGTAAAGGGGCCCAATGTGTAAACTGAGCAGCTAAAATAGGGCTAACAATTGAGGCACTGCAAAATGGACTGTTGCCAACAACTGCACTTATATGGGAGGCCTATACCGCGGTACACTGATACACTACCTGAATGATACCAATAGTAACCGTACCAAGTATGCCGATTAAAGCTTAAACGGAATATATAAGCTAATAAGGGCCCGTGGATCACACGAAACTCCACTAAAATACATGCAAACTAACTCAACAACAATGTGGTACAGTATTCATACTAGTCTCATATTCCCTGTAGCAAAATACATTGTAGATGAGAAGTGTAAAGTACAGTGGTGTGAGAGTGTTAACACGTTTAGTACATCTTACAGCTTCCTAAAAGTAAAGAGCTAAAGAAAATCCTAAAGGCGGCTTCCTCGCAGTAACACTTAAAAATGACCAACTAACCAAATTCTAAAGGCTGCCTTAAAGCAGTATAAACTGACAATGATCAGCTGGGAATGACTGGAACGACCAACGCACTGAATCACGAGCATTTGACAGTGCTCACACTCTAGCTCTCTTTCTCTCTCCCTTTCTCTCTCCCCGCTCAATGCTGCAAATCAACATGACAAAAGCAAGAGACGTGTAGAAGAATAAAGATTACTACTAGCTAACTAGTATACCATAATTCAGAACCAGCTTGTTTTTATAACCCTCATGAGCTGCAGCTGAGCACCCGGTATTGAGCAGCTCAAGCTGATGTATCACTGGTACCTCGGAGAGCTGCTAACATTACCAGGTATTGAGCAGCTCAAGCTGATGTATCACTGGTCCCTCGGAGAGCTGCTAACATTACCCGGTATTGTCATGGTGATTCTCAATTGGAATATATTACCCTGGTATTATTACCCTTCAAGAGCACGCATCACTAGTGTGCACAATGCACGTGCACAAATCAGGCAATAAGCACCGGAATAATGAAATAATTAAATATGCATTGGAGTCTAGTCTGATCGGTAAAATAATGCAGGCTCCGAAGAATTGAAGGTCTAGACTTTAGAGCGCTGCAAGATTAGAAGATTAGAATATTGTCGTGGATATTTCAACGGCTGAATCAACATTATATTTATTACGAAGTTATCTATCAGGATTGTTGTTTGTGCTGCAGGTTGCGGTAAACAACGTGGCTAACAAATGACGAACACAATCTAATCAAATCTTAGATATCGTTATATTATCAGCTCATTCATAATAACAATAACATGTAAATATACGATCGAAAAGATGTTTGTAACTCAACATAAGATTGTAAGATAGTTAATTAAATCGTGGTAAGGGATGAGAAGGGAGGACGTTAATGCTACATTACATAAAATTTGATACATTCGTCAATCGTCAGCCGTCATGCATTATATAAAGCAACAACTTGATTTTGAAACGAACCAAAATCAATTATTCGTGGGAAGGATTGAAATGCCCTTGAAGTTGGACCGACAGCAGGCGATTCTGCGATTCTCCGAAAACCGAAGGGCCACTACCATCAAACTACCAGGTTCTAGTCCGGTTTCGATCAAAATTAGCGAATTACAGAATTAAGATAGGTGGAGATCTGGAGAAGCAACAAAAAGTATCCAGATAGTTTATAACACTAGCGAATACAACAACTGAGCAAAGTAAACCCTCTAAATATATAAATACCCTCTATATAGATACTCATGATCCTATGCCTGCCTAAACCTAGCTGAGGAAATATAACCATACTTTAACCAGTACACAGGTTGCCAGGATAACTTATAATTCACGCTAATGGCTAAGACTTAGAAAACTACCTACCTATACCTACTACTTACAGAACAAGCCCGGGATCATTATACCCCTTATCTGGACTTTTATTGGGTAAATGCGCCCACGTGCTGGTCACGTGTGGGTCACGTGTGGGTCACGTGTGTGTCACGTGGTCTGGTAACTACTCATAGCGGTGCAGATGAGGGACCCCGTCTGAGTGGTGAGCCTCTGAGCGCAGCTAATGTAGCTTGTGTGACTACGTCATGATCCACAGCATTCTGTTTCCATGGCACTGTGAGCATTCTGTGGCACCGATGCGGCATTATGCGGCATCTTTCAGTGGTATTATTGACGCGGGTAGTGTGCGTGGCACCATTAATGCTTGCGGAGTGGCTGCACTTATCATATTATTTCAAGGAATCTTTAGCCTTGAACGTGACTCTATTTCTCTACACTTATAACATCGACCATTAATCTATTTCTAATATTAATGATAATCATGAATCATTATATCTTTAACACTTAATCAAAACCTAATAAAAAACAAAACAGTTGTAGTAAGTGAAATTTATCAAGGGTAAGAAGTTCGGCCCTCTTGATCTAGTCCAGATGACACCAAACACAGCGAAATATTGGCAAGAGGCTCATGCTTTAGGTATTTTACCTCAAAGTTTACAACACAACAGCCACTATTCCTAGGTTTTCTAGAATTCCTAGGGTTTCTAGGATTTCTGCAAATCTACAGGTTCGCTATAAATATGATCTCCACATATTCAACAAAGCAAGACTAGTGACGGTGATAAAATACTCCAGATTTGCATAATATGCTTCTTTAATAATAGTTAAATGGCGACTTATCCTCAGCCATTACATTATTGGCAGTGTTTCACTCAGTCGGAAGAATAAGGATCTCGCTATTTCAGGCTAACAACTGGCTTCTTTCTGGCTAATAACTGGCTTATTTCTGGCTAATAACTGGCTTATTTCAGGCTAATGCTGCGATAATTCGGCTGCTCGAAATAGTTAGCTGTTGGTGATTACGACTTTACTGCAACTCTTTATCTTTCGCACTTGTAACAGATACAAAGTTAATTGCATTCAAAAATAATAACGATCCATAATGTAATCCATACGGATAAATATTTATACTATCTGAAAGTTGAGACGGCTAAAATCTCAGACAAATTTGCGACAGAGCTTGTAAAAACTAAAAACTGTTCTTGCACGAGTCGGGAACCTTGTACGTTATAACCTATTAATGCTTTTCATGCAAACAAGTGAAAACGAATCTTTTATGTCATGTATCCTGGGTTTGGACAGGATATGCCGGACCTTTACTGATAGTTGAAATTCGACATATGACGTCATCTAGCGTCATCTAGCGTCATCTAGCGTGAAATATCGCCAGATGATGATAGATGACGCTAGATGACGCTAGATGACGCCAATTAGCGACATTGTCGCTAAGTGCACGGCACCTTTCGAATGTCGCTATCTAGCGCTATCTAGCGCTATATGACGCTATATGACGCTATATGACGCTAGATGACGCTAGATGACGCTAGATGACGCTAAGCACGCAGCACTGACGCCAGGCGACAGATAGCGCTATTTTCATAAAAATTCTAGGGACGACATCTAGCGTCATCTAGCGTCATATGTTGCCGCGACATCTGACGCTATCTGACGCCATCTAGCGATATCTGACGTCATCTGACGACATCTGTCGCGACGACATCTGACGCAGGCGACATCAAGCGCTGGATAGCGGGATAAGTCAGTTTACGACAGTTCACGCTATCTGGCGCTATATAGCGCCAGATAGCGCTATATAGCGTCAGATGTCGTTGCGACATATAGCGCTAGATAGCGTTAGATAGCGCTAAATAGCGTTAGATAGCGCTAAATAGCGAAGAATTTTGGGTCGTGACAGTCCAGGCTATTTAGCGCTAGATGTCGCTATCTAGCGCTATATGTCGCTGCGTCAGATGTCGTCGCTACATATAGCACAAGATATCATATCCTATCACAGTAACAGTAATCCTAACTCTCTGTGTGTGTGTGTGTGTGTGTGTGTGTGTGTGTGTGTGTGTGTGTGTGTGTGTGTGTGTGTGTGTGTGTGTGTGTGTGTGTGTGTGTGTGTGTGTGTGTGTGTGTGTGTGTGTGTGTGTGTGTGTGTGTGTGTGTGTTTTACTGGGACCGTAAGCGCAGCCTGTCTTTTCCCACCCAATCTTTTTTGTTATTTTTATTTTATATGAAAATTAATTTTTACTGTGTATGAAAATTAATTATAATTTAAGTGAGAATGCAAATAATATAACTATAAGCTTGCGCGGCTCGTCGAAGTCACCCAACTATTACACTCGATTTATCAAATATTCGGCTGAGTGGAACTTGACCATTGTTAATGATCTGGCCCGGCGCGCGCTACTTCGTAGCTCGTGCCGTCGAGAAGAAAGCGGCACGCGCTACTTCGAAGAAATTTAGACGAGTAACATCCGTCAAAGTGGAACAAAATATTAAATATCACTTAATCAAGGGGTCGTTTACATATTATAATTATATAAAGGGCCTGATGCCGCCGGCCGGGGTTTTCCAAATTATTACGCTCGCTAGTGTGATTGTGACATAATACTAATAGCTTAATAGCTATGTATGGAACTGATTACTAACAATGAGGGGTCGCGTTCACATACCCCCTAATCAGTTTTACCATAGCTATTATATTATATTTATGTCAATATTACACTAGCGTAATCAATAATCATTTGAAAACCCCAACCTCCTCAGCTGATTACGTAATACTAATATGTAAACGACCGTCGACCCTTAACATTTCGGGATCGGAAGAAAGCGGCACGTACTATTTCGACGAAATTTATACAAGTTACTAACATCGTTGATTCATGATGCCAATCTTTCACAGCTCAGTGGTGCATTTCGCCGAAAAGCATTATTGGATACCGAGAAGCATTTTTGGATGCGCGGCGCGACACACTCACAGTAACGCATCGCGTTGATTCACGATGTCAATCCTTCACTGTTCATGTTCACAGCTCGGCGAGGCCCAGTCATGGTGCATATCGCCATGAATTTAGTAACATAGTTGGTCAGTTCGTACAAAAGTCGTAAAAAATTCGTACAGTTCGGCACGTTTTTTCAGTTCGGGATTAGTTTGGGAAAAATTCGCCTCATAAATTTTCGAAATATATAATAAAAAGCTAATTGCAAAAATTTGTGTTAAAATGGCGGGAAACGTTGTAGCGCGATGCGTTACTGTGCCGCGCCGCGCACTCAATAAGGCTTCTCACAGCGACATAGCTAGCGACATGGCTAGATCGGCGAGATGCGCTACTGTGCCGCGCCGAGCTGCCATGAATTGACATCGTCAATTAACGGGAAACGATGACATGCGGATGCATGTTAATATTTTAAATCTGAAATGTAACCTCCCGGACAAAAATAACAAATTTTTCGGACTGAAGTGATTACTGATTAAAAAACAAAAATTTTTTTAAAAATTCGGTAAAAATTCCTCGACAGCTTTTTAAAATTTGTACAGTTCGACACCTTTTAAAAGTTCGTACATACAGTAACGTACTGACCAAGTATGTTTAGTAAAGCACTATAGTGGTTGCAAGAAGCATTATATTATTGGCTGCGCGGCGCGGCCCAGTAGTGCATCGCGCTACAACAAACATCGTCAAATAGATTACTCGAAGCTCAAAGCTGTAAAGTATTTATCCAAAATAATTCCGATCCCGAGGATCGTTACTGGGCCGCGCTCAGCCTGTCATTCCGCCAAATCTTTATTCGCCAAATCTTAATGTTTATGAACATGTACATAATAGCCTGGGTCCCCAGGTAAGAGGATTGACATAACTTATAAATTTATAATATATTAATTCTAAATACTGAATGCATCGCATTTTAAGGGTTTTGGTATTTTCGTAGCTAAATTGCACTAAAGCTTTCGCGCTTGCACTTCACACTTGCGCGTAGTTCGTAAACTGAAAACTCGTGGGTACGATATATGTGATTACTGAACAATAAATTCGGCTCGACTGTCATTACATTCTTTTAATAACTTGCTGTGCGAGATTTCAATACTATCAATTTGCAAATGCTAATTTAACATTTAGATCTTTACATCATCTTCTTTCACATAGCCATGTGTCTAAGCGTACTACTAGCGAGAGGGCTATGGTTAGAGCATAAACAGGTTATACTGGACGAATCTCACTCGTTAACGGGTGATACTCGTAATTTACTATCACGCGCCGCTTTTTCTCAAAATATTAGTCTAAGCCTATACCAGCCGGCAAAGTTTTTATATGTAACCTACATACAACGTTAAAATTTAGTTGAGTTTTGAACGTTGCTTATAGTTGATAAGGTAACCTTGATCTAACGTAAAATAATAAACGTTTTGCAACGTTAAAAATAAAACCTATAACCAACGTTAGATATTTAACGTTTAACAACGTTTTATATGTAACCTACATACAACTTTGAAATGTAGTTGAATTTTAAACCCTGCTTATAGTTAATAAGGTAACCTTGAGCGCTATCTAGCGCTAACAAGCGTTATCTAGCGGAGAATGTCGGTTTGTGACAGTTTACGCTAGATAGCGCTATCTAGCGCTAGATATCGCGGCGACAGCTAGCGCTAGATAGCGCTATCTAGCGTAAACTGTCACAAACCGACATTCTCCGCTAGATAGCGCCACGTCAGATGTCGTTGCGACATATAGCGTTAGATAGCGCTAGATACCGCTAGATGTCGCAAAAAAAGGGCGGAAATTTTATGAAAATAGCGCTATCTGTCGCCTGGCGTCAGTGCTGCGTGCTTAGCGTCATCTAGCGTCATCTAGCGTCATCTAGCGTCATATAGCGTCATATAGCGTCATATAGCGCTAGATAGCGCTAGATAGCGCTAGATAGCGCTAGATAGCGACATTCGAAAGGTGCCGTGCACTTAGCGACAATGTCGCTAATTGGCGTCATCTAGCGTCATCTAGCGTCATCTAGCGTCATCTAGCGTCATCTATCATCATCTGGCGATATTTCACGCTAGATGACGCTAGATGACGCTAGATGACGTCATATGTCGAATTTCAACTATCAGTAAGGTCCGATATGCCCGCTTAAAATACTTCCATTGCGTTACATTACATAATTTTCTCAATAAATGTAATAGATTTGTAGTGTTGTAATTAGTTTAAAACTATACCATAATTAGTTTAAAACTATACCATAAAAACAATGCACATCAATCATGAAATATGACCACATTGGTTTTTGAAGTTACGAGCTTGCGTTGTTAAAAAGAAAATAACGACCACTCCAACCGAAATCCGAATTAGAGTACTACACATGTGCAATCCACTCCTAATACATAGAGGCTCATTGATATTTATAACGCGGGATTCTTTCTACAAAAACCGCACACCGTCACGCGATTCTGACACGTGTTAAATGATCGCTGACGTAAATTGAACAATGCACCACGTTAGAAAAAACAATTCCATGATCCGCAAACCTCAAATCCATTGCTTAGTAAAGCAATGAAGCTACAAAAGTTAAAATCACCAAAGTACGTACTACAAACTGAGTCTTGTACTACAATCACGAAGTAGGTGGTTGCCATTTTCCAAGAACAGCTGGCCAGAGCTATTATAAATGAATGTGGTTTCTCAATCTCACTCAACACCATAGGTATACGGTATGTTAAGTATGTATAGTACGAAAGTTACGACACCGTGAGTAGGGTGGTGTGTGAGACATGGTGTAGCCAAAGGTTAAATCTAAGTGTAATTATTTAATTATCATATGGTAATTGTTTAGTAATTATCTGGTGATGGCTTGATAATAGCTTGGTGCTAAGGCTCTTTTTATTTGTTAAGGGACACATGCGCTATAATTTAAACTATCTTTGTGAGAATATGGGAAGTGTGCATCATGCACTATCTTTAAATTCATGCACCGGTTTTCCACTCTCTAGCCCCCGGTTTTATCCCCCCTCCCTCACCCTCTCTCCTAATCTCCAGTCTCCTAATCCTTCATTCCAGCCTCCCTATTTGTTATCAATATTTATTTAACTGGACACCCAATTATTTCAATCAAGCTATCTTAATCTGGGTTTGAGAGTTATTTATAATTACCTGAGTCTCAGGCTGAGAGGGAGCTCCAACAAGGGCTTCGTAGTAATAATTATTTCCTATTTAATTCGCGTTTTTGACACCACTTGGGGTACCAAATTTTGGGCTCTAAAACTCCTATTTCTTGGCCTATTTTTTATTTTTATGCTGATTTGGAGGCCATTAAAGCATTTGACCCAGTCAAAAAAGTTTCAGTTGTATATCTTTTATGGTTTTTGCCGAAATTCGCGTTAAAGTTGATGCCGTGGTGTCAGTAAAATGGCACGGAAAACTATCGTCTCGCTTTATATATAGTAAGATTACCTGAGTCTCAGGCTGAGAGTGAGCTCGAACAAGTGCCTCGTAGTAACAGCAGAACGTTTCGAAGTAGTCTGGAGCGCACCACTGCTGGTATTCCATTACATCTATATCTTTCACTTTCTCTTTCACTTACTATTTTTCTTATCTTTTTCTCTCTTAATCAATTTTCGTTTGTTTTCTCTTTCAAAACACTAAATTGCTGTTCCCAAGCTCCCTGTAGTATCTTTTCTCACTTTCCCGAAGAGGGCGAGATCTTCAGTTTGTGGTGGCTGCGGTTAGATGAATTTCTTGCCTCCTTGAATTGGTGAAGGTTGTAAAATAAACAGACGTATAAATAATAACATTAACAATAAAACCAGATAAACAACGCGTTGTTTTCTCCCTTCGTCATTAGCATATCAATAATAGATGAGCTGTAAAAGAACTGAAACCGCGGTCAAACAATAATTCTTCAAAAATGTGTTATCAATTTGGGTAATTTCATGAAACTAGGATTAAAACGAGAATAAAACAGACGGTGGTCCAGTTCTAGAAATAAAGAAATGAAGAGAAATGAAAGTAACTATAAAAATCAAGACCGCAGCTAAATGAAATTACACTATTACACAGGGTGCAAACTGTGGAAAATTCTAGCATACTTTAGATCGAGTGAAAGTGACCTCACGTATTAAAGTGTATTACTGAGCGATCACAAATCGGGTTTATCTACAACCATAATCTAATAATTGATAAATGATAAAGCTGCTTACTTTACTTTATTTTCAATGTTACAGCAAATAGACATTTAACCTGATGACAAGCGGCACAGCAGTGTAAGTACTAAGTACCGACACTGAGGACTGCATATGTATTATATCGGCACTAATTTAAGTAGCATCCACGAATTCAAAGAAATAGTGGATTTTCTCTCTTATTTCATTGATTAATGAGATTTGTGTTAACAATACTGAAAGATAAATATAGATGGAAAGATTAGAAAGGGACATTGTTACAAAATCTAATTTTGTCATTTGTGATCTCAAATTTACAAAATTAGGGTCTTCCCTTCGTATCGAGTGTGTTAAATCACTTTACAGTGGAACTTCAAGCTAGCTTAATAACTGTACACTCGAACTTCGAGATATTTCTAAAACAGCCCCGACAGTCGAAACCCGCTTGGATCGATTGAACACTGATTCTGAATCACCCCACACGAAAAAGGGATACAGGTTAAAATGATCACCTAGTATGTTATTGGCGAAAAACTAGGGTTTAAGAAGATGTTTGAGTTACTGTAAGGGATTGGGTTAGGGTCAGAGTATAAGAGGGTTAGGGGTTGAATTGTCCGTCAGGGCCATCTAGAGAACGTGTTTAACTTAGTCACGTGATAGTCCAGTGTCGATTTATTTATCATCATCCTCTCCCCCTGATCGGGCCTCGTAACTTAATATGAAATTGAAAGTAATAAGCGTAAATATTCGCTGGTTATTTATTTATTTATAAATTAGTAGTCTCCATTGGCGCCTCTAACTCCTATTTTAGTAAATCTGTTACCCGCTACCATCCGATCAAATTTCCTTTCACTGCATTACCGCTATAACTTATAGGACTGCACTGCTACCAAAATGGTAGTAATTTTAATAACTAATCGGAACAGTTTACACTTTTATAAGTTTATAGCGCCTCCATGCGGTTTGCACAAGGTTTCGCAAAACACTAGGATTAAATAAATCAAAGGGAAACGTAAAATTCAAGAGAAATAAGTTTACTGAAACGTACAAATAAATTCATCTGTCAGAGCTTATATAATATCCAAAATGTCACACTATGATTACCATCTAAGCATTAAGCAGCATCACCTAAATTACCTTTGACACGTTTGCTGATTTTTCAAGAAGAAGCATGTTTAAAAACTGAAATCAATCATTTTCAATAAAATCATCATTTTTAACACAATATATTTTGATGCTATGCTTTAACTTATCACCTGTAAAGATATGTTCCGACATGATAATCTTCATTCAGTGTGCTTACATAATATACATTGTTTATACACAACAGAGTCTACAATAGTTTTAACTCTGAGACTGTCAGTGTACTCTTTGAAATGTACTTATATGCACCGTTTATGTCCTTAAGCTGTATACATTGTATATTAGTATATTAGTATATTCCAAAATGAAAATATAACTAGATAATAGCTCATAATACAAAGAAGGAATCACATTATGCAGCTATAAGAATTACAACTGGAACAATACGGATACCAAGCCTACTCCTCCGATCATCTCTCCTCTTCTCTTAGTTTGTTGAAACTTCATTTCCTGGTAGATAACCTTCTATAACAGTATAACATGACTCACAGCGAACCAGTGAGCTATAGTGCATCAGTATAAGGGCCACTGTGTGCCACGTGGTCACAACACTGCTCTCTTATTGGTTAGTTTGTGCCACGTGACTAGAATACTGCTTTCTTATTGGTCAGTTTGTGTCACGTGACCAATACGGATCCTGATTCCTGAAGTCTCTTCATGTGCAGTTATAAGGACAGTTATAGTAACATGACATGTGGGAGCATGTGTACCTACTGGATTTTAAAGTTTTAAGCTGATGTATCTGGTAATAAATTCTATAATGGGATGGTACAAAACTGATCGTTTGTGGAAGGAAGATTTGTTAAAACTGCGGTCTAGAAGGATCCTAAGTCTCTGATCCAGCTATATAAGATACAGATGCTGCTTTTGTTATGTTAATATTTCTTATAACTATTCTGTTTAGTAGATTGAATCAAGATCCTCAACATTCTTCATGACTATTTCAGTATAAATAAAACGAACTAATTTTAATTTTGTTCATTCAACAGGTTACGGAGAAGACATTATAATCACACTAGAAAACCCGTGGTCACAGGGAGGAAGCTAATGGTATTTTTGTTAGTGAGTTTAAATCGCGTCAAAAAATATCCTACACAACCGAAGATACTCATACAGCCAATTAAAATTTTGCTCGTAATAAACACAGCGTAATATCAACAAAACTGATCAAAATGACGTTAAAACAATCATTGCACGTGCACGTGCGTGTAACAATCCTCGTTACCATGGTAACTACGCAACTTCCTATTTCTCGTCTGATTTGCACGTGGGCGGTCGTACAGTGTACAAACATTGTACAAACAAAAATAATTCTCTGAATTATAAGTAAGATAATTATAGGAACTAGGAAGGTAATACTTGCAGGTAAAGTTTAAACTAAACTTTATAACTAACACGAAAGTTACTAAGTTACCTATATAATCGCGATACCAAAGTTTCCACTAGTAACTTAGTAAACAAGAAACGCAACAAATGATACACAAGCCCATACATCAGCTGGAAAGCTCATGAACCGAGCAGCCTAACACTACCTACTCAACACATACCAGTCAGCCATATATTATATATATTATATATTTTATAAAAGTTATATATAACTCAATAAAGTGTGAAAACGTCTACTTAAACTCACTTCACCACTTCTTTTAATACCTGCTTCTAATTTATTAATACTTCTGCTCGAGATTTGTGTTTGAGATAACTTTAGCAGAGTTACCGGATAACCCCATATTATGACATTAGGTTAATATGCTTCTCTGACGAGAAGTAATAAGCGTAAATATTCGCTGGCTATTTCCTTATTTATTTATTAGTTGTCTCCATTGGCGCCTCTAACTCCTATTTTAGTAAATCTGTTACCCGCTACCATCCGATCAAATTTCCTTTCACTGCATTACC